CTTCGAATTACCGTATTGTTGATTTGTTAAAATTGTTTGCGGTTCGATTGAATTGTAAAATCTTTATGTATATTCATCGCTTTATTGAATGTGATTTCGTTTTGATCATCAATAGATATGGATGGATCGTCATTAAAACGTTAATAGAATATTTGCTTTGTCATGTTTCATAACGGTTTAAATCCGATGTTGATAACTTTACCTGTTTAGCTGACTGTGAGTTGAATTCGATGAGTAAAAATAATTCAGTGCTTAAAAGAATTTGAATCCGAATGGGGGTTGGGGTGGTTTATTTTGATTATATTTAGACGGTTTTGTTTTTTGATGTTTAGATTTTTAGAAATTTATATATGTATTAAATGGCTGAGATTGCAGTTTATCAATCCATCAGTCGATCAGTCTTATGCATCGACCGTAGTTTCGAATAATTACCTGAAAGGTGTGTGTTGCAATCAATCAATTGAGTGAATTGAAAACGTTACGAGAGAAAGACAGGTAGATGTTTTGTATGGATTGTTGCATGTTTCGGGTTGCTGTGGTGGTGGTGGTGGTGGTAATGGCTCGAATGAGTAATTTGAATTTGTAATTTGATATGTCAGACAATGAGTGCTCTTAAAGGAGAAAGTGAATTTGAGAGTGAAGCGTTGTTTCACTTTCATGTTTGCATTCACACTAGTATTCGTAATAGGAACGGTGGGTGCATCGTTGTTGCTGGATTAGAATGATGGATGGAGGGCGTTCAGTGAAACGATTACTAGGACCGATCTTATTGTTGCATTGTTGTCGTTATTATCAGCTGATATCGCGCATTTAGTATTCATTGCTTTCTTGCATTACATTTAATACTCGTTGCAATATAGCAGTGCTTCAGTGATAAGATATGAGTGATGATTACCACATGTGTGTGTGTGTGTGATAATAGTGATGTACCGATGAGGGATATGATTATGATAGGGGAGATGGCTATGTNTCATTATTATAGCTGTTGTTGAATTCAGTTCATATTGCTTTGTTGCATTAGATCTGATCTCTTAGGTTCATCTCATTTCTGAATGCAAAATCGACGCCAAACAACACTTTTGGTGTATATTTTTAATAGAGACGACGTATCAAGTTTCATTTCTATTGATTTATTTTGTTACAATTGTCAATGTCAATGGCAAATCCTCAGCTAATTTATCCAGTCGCGTTGCTAATAGACTAAGGTTTATCCAGTTTCAGTTGTGATATTCAATCGTATCCTACTAACGATGGTAAAATGTCGGTTCAAATGGATTATAACGATATTTTTGTTTGCATGGGCTGGTACAATAACGTATTTCATTTATTATAGCAGTGCGAGTGAAAAGGTTAACGATTTCATCAAGAAGCAGAATAATGCTGCATTGTTACATCATGTGAAGGTTAGTTGTTATTTTGATGAGAATTGTGGATGTTAATCGATTGCGATGTTATGGAGTAAATTTAGGCATCGATTAGTTGATTCGGAGCAAGAAATCGTTTCAGGATATAAGATCGCCGTTCGATGAACGAGCTGAAGTAGGTGGAACGGATGCGGTGTCAGAGATATCGTTACCGAATGCGATTGTGTATGCAAAACCAGCCGTTACAGTCAATTACAAGGAATTCGACCATGAGGGATATCTGAAGAAAGGACTTTTGAAGGCGGGAGAGGACAGGTATGCGGCGAATAAGTTCAATCAAGCGGCGAGTGATGTGATCGCGTGGAATCGCAGTGTGTCAGATTCGCGAGAGTTGAAGTGTCGTTCGGTAGTGTACGACGAGAAGTCGTATGCACACCTAAGGACATCGATCATCATCACGTATCATAACGAAGCGCGATCCACACTGCTGCGAACTGTCATGAGTGCTTTCCTGAGATCACCTCCCGAGCTGTTACTCGAGATCATCCTGGTGGATGATTTTTCACGCGATGTGGACGTTGGTCAGCAGTTGACAAGTATCGATAAAGTGCGAGTGATCAGAAACACACGAAGAGACGGCCTGATTCGCTCTCGAATCAAAGGCGCACGTCTCGCACAAGCGCCAGTGCTCACCTTCCTGGACAGTCATTGTGAGTGCAACGTCGACTGGCTACAACCCCTTCTAGAACGCATCCAGCAAAATCCTCGTGCCGTGCTCGCACCCGTCATCGATGTTATCAATATGGATACGTTCAACTACGTGGCTGCTAGTGCAGATCTTAGAGGAGGTTTATTCATTCATCCTCTCATCTGTGTATCACTAGTGTTATGTGTTCATCCGTTTGTGGAATGAAGTTTTTGGCTGCTGCACGAAAGATATTGTTTTTGTAGCATACTGGAATGATTGAGGGCAGTTTTAGGTTTTGATTGGAATTTGGTCTTCAAATGGGAATTTTTAACAGGGACACTGCGCGACGAACGACATCAGCATCCAACAGCACCTATTAAGTATTGTTATTCATTTGTTTATTGCTTATGGACAGTTGTTGATGAATGGAGTAAATATGAGTTTGATGAGTTGCAGAACGCCGGTTATGGCTGGTGGTCTTTTTATGATTCGAAAGGATTGGTTCGAAACTCTTGGTACTTATGATCCTGAAATGGATGTATGGGGTGGTGAGAATCTTGGTGCGTTTAGCATTGAATACATTGGCTCTATTGAGCATTACTCTGTCAATGATGTTTAACGAGCTACTGGTTGTTCACTTCAATACAATCATAAGATCGCCAGCACTATAATTAGTGAAGGGTCGGATACTACTGATTG